ATCTGACTCTTTGGGACCCCAGCCGGGAAATCCCTACAAATGCCAAATCCAAGCACAGTCCCTTTAACCCTCCTCGTTCACCTCACTGTTTCTTCCAGCCCAAATCGATGTCTGCAAATAGTACACGGTATGGCAGACGTTTCTCAGACAATCTTACGACGTGCCCTAGCCACCTAAGACAATGCAGTAGAATTAGTTTGCTCAATGGAGGACTATCTGATCCTAGCACATGTCGTCTAACATCATCGTTATTCACGCCACACTTCCATCATCAAACGCGGTCGTTGTTCTGCAAACAAAGGTTGTCGTAAACGGATCTGCTCAGTCATAGAGTAACAAGGCGCGTACTGGTGCGCAACACACACTCCCTTTCAACGCTGGCACCAGAGATGCCACAGATTAGCAACCGCTAACCTAGCTTTGATCACGCGTTGAGGGGTCTCCTCGCCTGCACCTCCGACAGCCGTTTTGCAACTCCTGAGGTAGATAAAGCGGGTAACCTCAGTTGTCAAACAATTCAGTGACTAAACGTATTTGTTAAGTCCACGAAGCACGATGGGATCTTTGACCTGCTTCAATTGTCGAAATAGTCCCACAGAGCACATTTCAAGCAGAACAACAGAGTGGCGAACAAGCTCGTTTTCAGAGATTCGTATTCATGCCAATACATCTCAATATATATCAATACTTGGGAACGGATTCAGTAACTCTTAAGTCGTCGGTGCGTTGGCACCGAGTGAAGCAATATCATCGGCATACTATAAGTGTACGACTCTGTCTCTAGGACGAATCTCTACGCGAGCGTTCGTTACGTTATGTAACGCGTTTTGTAGAACATCATCTTTGGCAGAGTTGAAGAGAAACGGAAAGATGGGTCAACCCTGTCGCACCCCACTGGCGACAGGAAATGAGGGTGTAAGTTCACCATAGACCCTAACCTTTCCCGAGGTCTAACCGTAAAGTGATTTTAGAAGTCTAACATACTTCTCGGGTACTTCGTATCTTCACAAACAGTTCCACAGCACGTGGAGGTCGATGGAGTCGAAAGCAGCTCTGATGTCCAAAAAACAAGACGATGGTTTGTAGTTTGTATGTGTGGCGGTGATCTGGTAGCTGACATACACATGTATATGTACCCTGAGTTAAAGCCCAATTGAGCACTTGACAGACTACGAATTTAGCTAATCACAATTTAATTCAATCACAAAATAAATAAACTTCATTGTTAAGCCTCATTTAGTTCCGGATAACATACTCATACTCATGAAGTTGCGTAGTGGTAGCTCTATACTTTGTTCACAGTTACTAGCTAGCAGTTTACTCACTGGAGTACAAAATTAGGCCACTGAATGTAAATGACTGCTCCCGTTGTTTGAATCATATCCTACAATTTGCACATTACAATAGTTTTAAATTTGTCCGGAGAAGCCCAAGCAACTAACGTTACCGACATTGATTGCTTCGAAGCTTGTGACCAGGTGTTCATATTGTCGTCATATCGCACTCAACGCGCGCGCGCGCGTAAACCAATTAAACGCACTTCAAGCGTTCAAATGCACCATTTACGATCACGTTTTATCATGAACTGGTCCATGAACCATGAACCGGCAATTTTGATTCCCTGTCATTGCGAAATTGCGTACACGTCATTGGCTAATGCGTATATGTGCAGTCTCTAACGCCACGCGATTACGATTGACGAATACGGGTGCTTGAAATGGGTTTGTATGTGTGGCGTGCGGTTAGGTCTCGACGAATAGTACAAGACCACTTCGTTGCAGGCTATGGAGTGCTTAGAACTTTATGCAACTTTATGCCGAATAGGCTCATTCAATTTTGCAGGCATTTCGGGTTATGTGGGGATTTCGTGCTTTGAAGCATGAAGTGGGTTTCACTCATTGAGCGCCTGTTCATTCCTTAAATGTTAGATGCATTTTGTTTTAGAGATAAGTGTGTTGAATGAATTTCAAAGAACACTGTGCAGATATTACGTTTGTGTTGCCATTCATCAGCAGTGTATACTATTTTTGCGTCCCTTCTCGAGATGCTGACCGCAAGCTTTCGAGATGAGATCCCAAAGGTTGAGTTACTTGGTCGACGATAAATACCTAACAACTGAGAACAACCCAGTAGTTGAGAATTTGATAGGTAAATATTTCGACTACGAGACGTTCTTCGGGAGAACGATGTGAAACATAGAAAAAGAAAAATTTAGAAATGGGCCCAGATTGAAACTCGCCTTTCCACGGTGTAATTCGTTGCCGCTTTTCTATCGGCTGAATAAAGTGATACTGTGTCTTTTCCCTCGAGACCAACTCTCGGAGAATGAGATCATTCATACTCCTCCAATAGTCGTACATCACTTCTTTTTGCAAATTCTGAGCCGTTTCTTCAACGCTACAAATTATACAGATCAATTCATTAGTGACCAACGTAACAGTCCTTACCCTTGGAAATTTTTAACGGTACATGTGTCATCTTTGGCCAAAAATAGCATATGCTTTATCACGGAACCGCTCAGTTCCCCGATTCCTTCGTTTGGCATACAATCCAGATAAAGATTGTATCGTAATCCAGCCTCGTGTTTCTGTCGCTCTTTGTAGGCTGACGCAATCCGTTGCGCGAACACATCCGGATCTTCAGCCAGGAACATTAACTGGATTCTGGGTATCCAATACTGACTTCTCAGTTCGACAAAAGTCCCATTTCGAAGTAAACCACCATTCACCACCGGTTTGCCGCTCGGATCCACTATACGACCGTCTTTGCTCACTTTTTGTACCAACCAAAGCTTGGATTTAGGATCGAAATCTAGCACTCCGGATAGTTGCCATCTCCACACAACCTGGGGATCACGTATATCCACTGTAAACGGAAACCAGCAAAACAGATATCACATTACCAGGCATGGGTTTTGAATAGTAACGACTTCTTTTTTATTCTAGTGTTTCAAAAAGACAGCAAAAGTTTATCGCATACTCTGAGTGTTGGTTTCAGTTTTAGTTTATACAACCATTAACCATGCAATTTCGTGCGTCAGTTTTGGTTGCTGTCTTTTGACCACCCATTAGGATAAAAGAGCAGAATGAACCTTTGAATTTTTGATAGCAGAGTCAAACCGAAGATAGAGAATTAATATAGACTGCGATTGAAAGAATATTGAGTAGATGCACGAGCGCCACTGTTTAGGACACTCAGCGTCTCTAGCTACCGGTTACCATGATCTTGGTGTCTCCATCCAGGGATTCCAACGAGATCTATGTGACCCAGTGTCTTGCTTGGGGTTTTCATACCCTCGTGTCAGGTCTTAGTTTGACCGCCCTTGATCTTTTCCCATCCGCTGATTGCCTCGGCAAACATCACTCGCCGTTGCAACCTATTCATGTCCCAACCAACGTAATCTATGGAGGTCGATCACTTGCGCCAGTGGACGACCGCGACTACCTAAAACTCCACGCCTAACCTCAGCATTGCTCATCCGGTTACCCCACCAGACTCGTGTAATGCGACGTAGACAGTGGTGTTCGAACACCGACAATCTATCTTCATCCTGTTCCCGTAATGGCCAAGTCTCTGCACCGTCTACTTCATCTACTACTTCTCCAGTCAGGGTGAGGTTGGGGGCTGGACTAACCGATTCCTATAGCAACATTTTAAACTTTGAAGGTGCAAACGCATGCCGAACATGGCTATATTAGCACTCAACCTATATAGAAAAGCTTGCAACTTACCTGGATCTTTGCTTAGTAGCACAATATCGTTTGCATACTCCAGATCAGACTGTTTGCCACCTGGCAGCAAATCGATGCCTCTATCCTCGCACGAGGATAGAGCTGTTTCAAAAATTAAATCGATGACAAAGTTGAATAGAAAAGTGAATAGAGGAAATCCCTGGCGGATACCGCTTTCTGGGCGAAAAAGTGCCATAAGCTTGGACTCGGCTTCTGCTATTAGTATTAAAGTGTTCGTGACAAAGTACGTTGAGCAAGAACAAATAAAAATCATTCATGAGGTTCCCAAAATTGCAAATGATTATTTCTCCATCCAATGCACAAAAAACGTTTTTTAAATACGAAAATGTCAACATAAGGTCAGTGTTTATCGACGTTTTATTGCGTTTTCTAATGCATGACACCGCTTTCTCTGACGAATAATTTTAAGAGATTTTCTATTGAAATCAATGATCTAACCATTGACCTTTATAGAGTGAAAATCCTCAAAATTTCTGGTTGCGACAGACAGGATATCAAACTTGACAACAGTATAACTGTTTACCACGAAAAGTTGAACAACAGAACGAGTGATCCGGAGTACCTTGAAAACCGATGCGTGCAAACAACAACTGACCTCAGTCGTGTATGATAATTAAATTGGTACCAATTGCACGGGCAACCGTTTTACTAACTAAATAATAAATGTTTACATTGATCAAAAGGGAAACTGGGTTGTAAGTAATGTCCACACAGAGTAAACAGTTGATGGTACATACACGCAGATGATCCTATAATCATATATCTGTTTGTTTCTTCTGGTGACTGTTTACATATCAACGTCATATGTGTTGAGATACAAAAAGTTTATCATGAAACTTCATGCCTCTCACAGTTTCCGCTTTTTAAAACCATTAATCATGCACTCTTGTGCGGCGTTTCCGATTGCTGACTTTTGACTGTTCATTTAGATGTAATTGTGATGGGAAGACTGGCGTGTTGAAGGCACTGTCAGTTGGCTATAGAGAATTCTGGTAGATAAAGGTTGTAAAAAGATGGAGATCTAGCAGTATCATTATTTTCAAAACTCAATCACACACGACATTTACTCTAGGAAAATGTCACTTTATTGATGTTGAATTGCATAACAGATTATCTGAGGTACCGCAGGGCCCTTTGTGCAAATTTAATTCACTCGAGGAGACCAACAAATGGTAACAAAATGATTCTGTCATGCTTGGTCTGTTCTATGCATGCATACGCATCGTACGACAGAGTCAAACAAACCAGACTCCACTCTGGTCCATTTGGGATCAATGGGGTTGAAAAGAATGGGTTCAGTTGGTTCATATATGCAGTTCCGTCTTTTGAGTTAAACTCGTCCTCAGTTTGATATCAAAGATAGTTAAAGTAGATGAACGAATGTACAGTTAAAGAATGGGGATAAGATTTGCGTAGGGAGTGTTCAAGATTTTCATTGCGGACAATTTCCGGCTATTGTTGATCATTTTATGGGTTCTACCTGGCCCAGATAATACGGCAAAACTGAGAAAGACTGGCAATTGATAGAGGAAATGCGTATTGTATTGACGAAATTTCGGAAAATCAGCCACTTGATGACTCATTACTCTTTGTCTAACCTCAACAAGGATCTTCTGGTACCCAGAACCGATTCGTGCCATGTTACACAAACAGTTATACTTGGAAGTATGTAACCTTCATATAAATTTACTTTTCCAAACTGCTAAAAACAAAAATACATGACCAATATCACGCTATAATCAATCACGTGCCGAGATTAATCAGTTCCATGCCCGTGGATATAATTATGGCTACAAAATTGTGGAAATCATTATAAGTTCTCTTGAAACCTTTCACCAAATGAAGTCTGATTATTTACGAAGAGAGCTCGTAGGCAAATGGAGACAGCTTTATTAGTTAAAACAAATTGATTGAGTCACTCAGAAAGCCGGTGACCGCAATAAACACAATCCGCTTTTAGTTTTTCTCATTGATTCGTGCATGTAGTCTTTTTTTATATTTGTGGACCAATAACCTATGAAGCTTCAGCACGTAATTTGAAGCCGCCATAACATTTATTTGGCTGGTAAGAGTCGTGTGTGTAACACAGTTATCTGGCGGGTTTTTATCTGTGCTTAGGAGAAATGTACGTTACGATGGAAAAATTAAACAGGTGATTGGAGTTCAGATAGCGAGACATGCAAACCGTATTGCACACGTCTGGCAGGACAATCGAACAAATACTACAGAGTTTGGGTGCCGAATGTTGGCAATAGCTGTCACNCACATTCAGGTAGAGTTAATTGACCCATATCAATCAATATTACCTATCCCAGACGACTAATCGCAAGTAACTGTAAGTTAAATGCGAATTATTGCTAGTTGATTGAGCAGATGTTATGCATTCCGCCCAATAGGCTTCTATTATATATGATTTATTCCAAGCCAGTTGTTGTGACAGGAGAAAAGATCAAGGGAGATCATACTAAGCTCAGCCATGATGATAAGAAACCCTGATCAGGGCTCGTATTCTAACAGATTGAACTAGATTTCCTGGTTTGAATTTCGGGACCAATCTAATCAATATCCTAAATAGGGAACAGTGTCGCTAAATGCCGAAAATAGTGACGATAATGCATCTGTTCAGTTTCTACTCACACCCAGATCTTACCTGTTTTGTTTTATCATTTTAATGGTCTATCTTTTATCCACTATATTCGCTTGTTTGATCAATCGACCAAAACGGGGATCCAAAAACCAGCAGATCAAACCTTCGTATGGCTTTGAAAGATAACATTGACATGAATTTGTATGAGTTATTTACAAAATGTTTGTCTGCTGTAACAATTTTTAAGAATTAAAAACTAACTTCCACCATGCATGTTTGAGATTGCTATTTTTTTCCAACAAACTGTCAGTTTTTAATGCTAGGACAGTGAGAAGGATTGCATTTTATTTGTCAAGGAAGCAAGTTATGCGTGTTTACGAATTGCCGTTGAATAATATGAGGAGATTGCCAATCAAATTTTATCTATGTAAGCAAGTAGGAAAGTCAATTAAGTTTGGGATTCACCTACTGTGCATCTAAAGCTAAATAAGAGGTAGGTAATGTTGTTTGACATCTATCGAGTGATTGATGAAAATGGACATTGATTTGTTGTTGAAAGCAGGTGCTAATTTATCTGCATAACTGATTAGGAAACAAAATGACTTGCAGAAGAAATTCATAAATCACAAGCAGTTTTAGTTTTTATTAACAATAACTATGCACTTTCTTGCGCCGATTTTGGTCATATCTTCAACGGATACCTATTTAGATGAATTAATAAAGAGAAGATTAGAATACCCAAATCAGTGTTCCTTTAGAATTGGAAAATTCACGTAGACTGAGGTTACAGAGAAATTGAGATGTACAAACGCCACTGTTTACGATGCACAGTCATATCACTCATTGTGTCCAATCGTTTATTACAATGATGACAAAGTCCCCAACCGAGGAGCTTTAGGCGATTGATATCAGTAATCTTCCTGCATGCCAGATTTTAGTTTGACCATTAATTACCTTTTTGCAGTTATCATTTTCTTGGTAAACAACGGCCGTGAAAATCTATTTGATGACATGCCTAACACATGACCCAAACAGCGCAGTCTGTGGAGGTCAACTACATGCTCTAGTGGGCGGCCACGATCAAATAAAAATCTGAGCCTAACATTGACTTTGCTTGTCCGGGTTCACTACCAGACTTGTACAATGTGGAAGTAGACAGCGGTGTTTGAACACCAATAATTTATCTTGTTTTCTTAATCTCCAAGTCCCTGTACCAAATAGAAGAATTGGTCAATCTGCCGCCAAGCAAACACGCTTTTGGAACATTAAATCAGGAAAATGCTTCTATATAATCTTAATGCTAAGTATACATGTTGGCGTTCCATTGATGTCCCTTCTGATGACCAATATAAAAAGGACGATCTAGTTGTTTAGCCACTTTTCTTCTGTCGTCAACATTTAGTTATAGATGTTTGTAGATGCTTTGGACTAGTTTTGTTTTCTACTGATCGTGGCTAAAATCTGGTTTCAGAGAGTCAGTTTCTGGTAATTTATTCACAAGTGAGGAGCTATTAGAAACACTTAGTGAAGTGATGTGTTTGACCAATCAAATTGTTCCACCCTTTTCTGCACAAGTTGTAACTGGATTGCATTTTGGTGTTCAAGCAATGAATGGATACATTATTCGGTGTCCTACGAGGCACAGATCAATCAATAAATGCTAGTTGCAGCGCTGCACATTCAAATTTAGTCAAATTTCTCAATCCACGTATGTTTCATTAAAATTTGGGATACAATCTATCCCAGGAAGTGTCACATAGTCATTGAAAAAATGATAACGGTTCGAGTATAAATAAATCATGACTAGTTGATCTTCTTTAATAGATATTACTAAGTTTTCTCAGTGGAGAACAAGGGCTCAGTGTAATTTATGTCTATATCTGTCTTTAAATGTCTTTTTTCTACCTTTTTATTTATGTACCGTCAACGTTCAGGAAGGGAGTCGCGACCATACAAAGGCAGCCTGGGAAAATACAGAAACATGGAACACGGGAGACGGTGGAGCGGTTCGATTTCAGGACATCTAGGTCACAAGTTGGTGATCTAATCACTTGACTACCACCATTCAAGAGATAATGAGTAATATGTGTGAGTTTTGCATGGACAGTTTCTCAAGTGATGCAACTGTGATTTATCTGTTCTTTATCCTCTCGTTGATACTGCTGCCAGTATTCTAGTTTTCCTCTGTTACTTCGTCCAAATGAGCAGCCACAAGACAAAAAGCATTGGTCAGTTGTAACCACAAGCCTTTTGATTTAATTCAGCCATTACTTGTTTGTAGGCAAGTCAAGAGTAATGATTTGAAGACATCCACGTAATTTAAATATACAGATTCACCGTCTAAGATATTCTGACATTACGCTTAACGCACCAGCACGATTCCTTCAGATGGTTGCTGCAATACGGTGAGAAGTACCAAAAGCGTAATATAATAAGTCGATGACATCTTTATGCTTAACTTTAACAGCATTTTTATTCTTAAGTATCACATGTATGTACAAAAACCTCTGCATAATAAATAACACACGGACGTGAAAAATTAAACCGCTCCACGTTTTACATTAATAAAAATAGATATTTATGGGTTA